CCCCACCTGATCTGGCTGGCATTGAACAGCGAGAAGCCGCTCAGGAAGACGATGAGGCCGACCAACGCGGCGGGGACCAGCATGCAGGTGTACCAGCCGAGCCAGGCGAAGTACAGGGCCACCTTCTCACCAAAGTAGTTCCTACGGCACAGCTGCCCGTCAGGCCACCCGCCAGGGGTGGCGTCACAGGCCAGTGCCCGGACGGGGTATGGGGGGGAAAGGAGAGTCTGTATTGGCAGCACATTTGCTCGGGGTATAGGTGTGTCTGTGGGGGTGCAAGTGTTTGTGGGCACATAGGTGTCTCTTTGGGGGTACAGTGTGTCTAAGGGGCACAGGTGGATTTCTGAGGCACAGGTGGGTACTGGGGCACAGGTGTGTCTGTGAAGGGGGCACAGGTGGGTGCTGGGGCACAGGTATATCTGTGAAGGGGACACAGGTGTGTCGGGGCACAGGTGTGTCTGTAAAGGGGACACAGGTGTATCGGGGGCACAGGTGTATCTGTGAAGGGGACACAGGTGTATCGGGGGCACAGGTGTATCTGTGAAGGGGACACAGGTGTGTCTGGGGCACAGGTGTGTCTGTGAAGGGGACACAGGTGTGTCTGGGGCACAGGTGTATCTGTGAAGGGGACACAGGTGTGTCTGGGGCACAGGTGTATCTGTGAAGGGGACACAGGTGTGTCTGGGGCACAGGTGTATCTGTGAAGGGGACACAGGTGTGTCTGGGGCACAGGTGTATCTGTGAAGGGGACACAGGTGTGTCTGGGGCACAGGTGTATCTGTGAAGGGGACACAGGTGTGTCTGGGGCACAGGTGTATCTGTGAAGGGGACACAGGTGTGTCTGGGGCACAGGTGTGTCTGTGAAGGGGACACAGGTGTGTCTGGGGCACAGGTGTATCTGTGAAGGGGACACAGGTGTGTCTGGGGCACAGGTGTATCTGTGAAGGGGACACAGGTGTGTCTGGGGCACAGGTGTATCTGTGAAGGGGACACAGGTGTGTCTGGGGCACAGGTGTATCTGTGAAGGGGACACAGGTGTGTCTGGGGCACAGGTGTATCTGTGAAGGGGACACAGGTGTGTCTGGGGCACAGGTGTATCTGTGAAGGGGACACAGGTGTGTCTGGGGCACAGGTGTGTCTGTGAAGGGGACACAGGTGTGTCTGGGACACAGGTGTGTCTGTGAAGGGGACACAGGTGTGCCGGGGGCTGTGTTACCTGATATCGTCGACGGGCTGCTTACGGAACATGTTTCTCCAACGGGCCCATGTCCTCTTCAGGGTCTCCTTCCCCTGCACAGGTGACTGGGTGAGAGCTCCGCCTCCGGCCCCGCCCTCAGGCCGGCTCCCCAGGCAGCCCCTCACCTTGTGCAGGGGAAACCGGGTCTCAAAGACCCCGTCCTTCACCAAATCGTCGAATGTGTCTAAAGGTCACAGGGGCCTCGGGTCAGAGGGGAGGAGGACCTGGCCACATCCTCCCGCCTCAGCACCCCCTGATGGCCCCTGCCCGGCCGCGGCCGCCCGTCCTCACCGCCAGCTGCTGTCCTGCAGTTGAGGATGAAGTTGACGATCCGGATTCTGAAACACAGGATGGCTCCGCGTCGCCTCGGTGGACCCGCCCCCTGCTAGCCAGGTCCAGGCCCCGTACATCCACGGGGAGCCCCAGCCCACCTGCCTCACCACCTGGCCGGAGCCCAGACCGGGGTCTCCTCTGGGAGCCCACCCTGACCTCCTTACATCCTGCCAGGGCGCAGCCACCCGTGGCTCCAGGACGGGGCTCCATCCGGAGTGGTCCCTCTCCTCCGAGGACCCCAGAAGCCGGCCTGACCCCCGCCTCCAACCGCACTTCCTCCCTGGAGCTCACCCTACAGCTTTGTAAGCGAGCCCCCTTTCATCCCTGGGCCTTTCTGCCTTTAGGGAGACTGCGGCTCAGAGAGGTTGAGTAACCGGCCCCGGGCCACACGCTGGGAAGCGGCACAAAGAGCATCTGACCGGAGAGCCGCACTCCTCCTGCGCCTTCTCCTATGAGACCTGGTCCCCTGGCTGTCCCTGGGCCCTCGCCCTGGCCTGGTCCTCCCAGACCTCATCAAGGTGCCTCTTCTCATCGTCCTCCCCTTGCTCCTCCCCTGCATCCCCAGGAGACCCTCCATGGCCTCGGATCCACATGCCGGAAGTGCCCTTGGCCAGTCTCCGCTCCCACGGCCCAGCTGAGCTCGGAGGGGCCTGGGGTGAGCCGGGCAGGTGATGGAGGAGGGAGGGGGGGACAGGGGACCAGACTGTAGAGCCGGAGGCTCAGTGGGGGGAGCAGGTGCTCAGAGCGAGAGCAGGAGTTGGTTCCTGAGCAGCCGGCACAGAGGGCCGGACGGGTGTGGGGTCTGCCTCTGGGCTCAGAGCCAAAAGGGATGGCGGGGCGGCCCTCTCGGCCTCTCCAAATCCTGCCCACCCTTTCTTTATTTTTATTTTATTTTATTTTTTTAAATATTTTATTGATGTTTTACAGAGAGGAAGGGAGAGGGACAGAGAGCTAGAAACATCGATGAGAGAGAAACATTGATCGGCTGCCCCCTGCACACACCCCACTGGGGATGTGCCCGCAACCAAGATACACGCCCCCGACCAGAATCAAACCTGGGACCCTTCAGTCCACAGGCCGATGCTCCATCCACTGGGCCAAACCGGTCAGGGCTCTTTATTTTTTTTTTTAATGTATTTTTATTGATTTCAGAGAGAGGAAGGGAGAAGGAGAGAGAGATAGAAACATCAATGATGACAGAGAATCATGGATCGGCTGCCTCCTGCATGTCCCCCACTGGGGATAAAGCCCACAACCCAGGCACGTGCCATGCCCAGACCGGGAATCAAACCGTGACCTCCTGGCTCATAGGTCAACGCTCAACCACTGAGCCACGCCAGCCGGGCTCCTGCCCACCCTTTAAGTTCCATGTAACTTTCAGAATTCTCCAAGAGGTGAGACCTGTCAGCACCCTTCCACAGGTGTGGAAACTGACACAGAGCCCCGAGGCCTCGCCCGGGGGCCTCTCCTGCCGG